TTTCTATGCTCCCTGTGTCAATCAGTGCTTTTTGTAGCTGTTCATTAGCACTGATTTCTAGCATTGTAGTTGATAAGCACTAAGTATATCCAATGATGCTAAAAAGTTACCGTTTTACTCCCCCTTTTTCTTACTTTTACAAACTTTATGTCCCTATTTTCCACATGTATAAGATTTGTCCCTTCATAAGGAGCATAATAACCTTGCATGTCTCTTACTCTTACAGAATAAAACATGATCATTTAGTTAATGCTGATATTTTCAAAAAGTCTAGTTTTTCATACAATGGGAGTGGGTCAAAATAGCTGAAGACATATCTGTATCAATTTTTAACATTCTAATCTGCTAAATCTAGTACTCTTGCCTGGTCATGTAATGTTAAGGTGCTGTTTTTGAGTATTCTTTGTCAGATATCTATGGACTGTAGCCCATTTATGAAGGCATCTCTTATCAATTCGACTTGATATTGTTCCACTGATGCCAAAGAAAATGAACAGTCCTTACTTAGTTTTATTAAGGTTTGATAAAATCCATCAATGGAATCTGAGGGTAGTTGATGCCTTGTAGTCAGTATATGTCTAGAGACTATTTCATTTTTCTTTTTAATTTAGATCCTGTCCAGTATTGTTAAAGCCTCTTCATAGGAGGATGAATCTGTGAAATACTTGTAAACTTGTGTGGAAACATATTTGGTGAGATAGTGTAGCATATTGGAATTTTGGTTGCAGTATGTACTCAAGAAGTTCATGAATGTTACTCTCCAGTGACACTATTCCAGTTCAGCATCAGATGCGTTGGGGTCAATAATAAGTTTCTCTAGACAGAGTAAATTCACCATTTTCAAAATGCTTAACAAGACTCTATTAAATTGTAGTGGAATTGTTTGAGACAATACATATTGCTTATCAGTAAGCTTTAATAAACTCGGTATTTACCCAATCCCCTCACTGAGATGAGATGTGACACAAGGTCAAGATTACTGTGGAGAACCTAAGCATTTTCACTCGGGCAAATGGTCAAAATTTGCCCAACCGCTGCAAGCATGGGCTTAGACATATTTATTGTCCGTTTCTCAGCTGAGTCTCCATCGCTAGACATAGCACCAACTGAAGCACCTTATACTCAAAGACAGAGGTCTTGACAATCAGAACCAGGCAGCAGGCCACCTGACCCTGACAAGCTTTAATAAATTCGGTATTTACCCAATCCCCTCACTGAAAGGAGATGTGACACAAGGTTGAGATTATTGTGGGAAACCCGAATGTTTCCACTTGGGTCAATAGTCAAAATTTACCCAGTTCCCACAAGCGTCTCTTTTTCTCAGCTGAGTCTCCATCACTAGACAGAGCCCTGACTGTCACCCTCTAAGCCACAGGAGTTTTGACAATCAGAGCCAGACAGCAGACTGCCTGACTCCTAATACATAATGTTCAATAATATATATTTAATAATCAGTTTAAAAGGAATTTAATATGCAAATGAATTTGTTGACATATTTTTATTCTCATATAAAATACAAGTAAATAATGCTTAGTATAGAATTTGACAAATAATCAGTTTGAATAATTTGTAATTAGTTGCAATCATATGTACCTAATCTGTCCTAATTAAAAGTCACATGCAGTTTTCATGTCTCTTTTGGGATTAAATCTAACATTAGTTTTTCTGTTGTGTATATTCATTTTAAATAACCTTTGCATTTTAACAAGAAAAGTATTTTTAAATGACATTTTATTTTAAAACTAACATTAACTAAAAAGTTATTTATGTCTATGAGCATACATTAAAAATAGATTTATTTTTAAAGTAATTAATAACAAATAGAAATTATGCAGGTCAGTTTGTAATCATTAACCAAATAACATTTATTTCAGTTTTTGGACATTCACTCCAATCTTGTTTTTTTTGATAAAAAATCCATGGAAATAATTTTCTGCTAAGGAGATTATAAATTCAATAGTTTTCATGAAAAAAATCTAAGTAATTTAAAACTATATTTATCATAGCTAAAATGAATCTAATTTTTATGTTAACCTTCTTATTGACTGTTTTAAAAATGATTACAATTCTTTCTGTTCATAGGAAAGTTATTATTTGACTACGACAGAATGGAGGATCGAGTAAATCATTGAAGAGTCCTCAAACCTGCTTCCAATCACTGGTGACCTTAAACAGGGCTGTGGGTTAGCTCCAACACTCTTCTCCCTGTATATTGCTGCCATGATCAACGAGATCCCACCTGGCAGCACTAGCATTGACAGCCAATATAGATTTGACAGTGAACTCTTGAGCCTCACCCAACTTTGTTCTTGCACAGAGTACTACCAACCAACACGGAAGAATTTCAGTATGCTGACGACAATGCAACTGCAGACCAGACTTCTATTTACCTCCAGAGATCGACAAAGCAGTAAAATGAGACCTACAAATGCTTCAGGATGCAGGTCAATGTCAAAAAGACAAAGATTCTCATCTAGATGGCCCCTGGACAAGCAACACCAGATGCCAGCATCAACAAATAGCTAGTAGAAGTTGTCGATGAATTTCCCTACCTTGGTAGCATCATCTCAAATAATGTCACCTGTGAAAGAGACCTTGACAACAGGATCAAAGTGACTCATACTGCATACGGAATGTACTCACACCCAGTCTTCAGCAATCAGAGCCTCACCATGAAAACCAAAAATATTGGCTTCCAGGCCATGGTCCTCTCCACCTTTCTGTATACTTGTGAGACCTGGGATGTCAAACATCTGGAGCTGCTCCAGCAAACAAAACTCCGAAGAATCATTTGCATCATTTGGGAGGACTATATCACCAAAAACAAGGTCCTGTCTTGGACATCACTCCTCAGCATTGAGGCTACTGTCCTTCAACATCACCTCCGCTGGGCAGGTCATGTGTCCAGAATGTGTCCTATTCGACTCCCGCATAAAACCTGTTTAGTGAACTTACCAGCAGCAAGAGGCTACATGAAGGTCCAAAACAACACTTCAAGGATCAGTTGAAGACATCTCTGATACAGGCCAACACTGATCCTGAGACTTGAGAAACTGTTGCTGCAAATGGGCCTTCCTGGAGTAGGACTATAAAAGGGAGGACCAAGGCATTTGAGTCCAATGTTCAACATGAAGAAGATCTGTGACATGCCCAACTCGCCCAGCCATGTCCACCACCCACACTCCCCTGTGACTCCTGCTCATGTCTCTTCAGGAGTGGACTGGGCCTTCACGGCCATCTCCACCACTGCCACCAGAAGGGAGAAAGGGAATAAGGAGAGAGGATGACGATCTCGATGCTTGAATGCGAGTTGGTGTCAACTGTGACTATTATTTGACTAATAAAATGCATATTCATATAACGCAAACATATGCACAGAAGTGTTCTCAAAAGAAATAGGAAAAAGTAAAATCTTTGCCAGTTTTAAAATAAAATATCAGGCTGTTTCTATTTTTGTATTTCTCTGTTTTCTTTCAGTTTCCTTACCACCTAGTCTCTACTGTAGTTTTCTCAAGCATTAAAATTCATCTTTTCTATAGTCTCCCTGTTTCAGTTTCACACACTACTATTATTAATTAATCAACTATCATCCCCTCCCCATTTTGGAAACATGCAATATGATGAACAGATATCATGAAACTTTGGCAACTTTTGATAGAAGTCTAATTTTTGTAGTGGATAAGATTGTAGTGCGCTCACTTCATCCACTATTAAATTGAAAAACTAGTACAAAATTTATACCTTCAAATTATGAGTTAGCCATAAAATTAAATATGTTAAATTGGCTATATTTTCAGCTGTCAGCTAAAATAGATTTTTATCAGCTAAATATGAGAAAAATCAGCTGATTTGGCAACACTATATTTGGCTTTTCTTTCAATGATAAAAAAAAATACTCATATCACATACTGGATATGTGAACAGATAAACTGTAACAATTATTTCTCTTATTTTCATATAAATGACAAGCTGTTTAATTTTAGATTGGTTTATATAATAAATCTGGATTGCAGTGTTATACAAATGTGAGTGAATTCTTTGCAGGATAATTTCATAAAATTCAAAAGTTGTAATTCTCTATAACTTTTGTCTCATGTCCCCAGGTTAAGAATTATCAAATATAAAAAAATAGTTTTTAAATTGATAATTTTAACAAATCCTTTTTTTATGAAAAAATATTCATATATTTTAAGTTACAATTTCTGAAACTATGCTGAATTTTTGTTTGTTGTCTATTGAAACAGATGATGATATTCCTCATGTAAAGATATTGTTTCCCCATATTTTTAAAGCATTTATTTCCTGCCCATCTCAGATGAAAATGTACATTTCAGATGAGGAGACCATAGTCACACACCCACACACTGGCCAACAGTAATGTGCAATGTCAGGAGTTGAATAAAATGTAATGTTAAATATGAGAAATACAAGTTTCATGTTTTCATTATATGACACAATGATTTGGCATTACAAATGCACACGCACAGACATTTTATATATATATATATATATATATATATATATATAGATAGATAGAGAGAGAGCGAGCGAGCGACACACACACACTTGAAATTATAAACAAAAAAGTACCATTTATATTTTGAAATTGATTAAAGTCAAGAAAATCAACTATAATACTGTCAGTGAAAGGGCTAAATTTCACTCTCATATCCTTAAATTTATCAATTTTAAATATACAAATGCTTTTTCTAAAAAGAACAAGAAATATGTCAAGAAGATTTATTTGTTCAATAGAAAAGGCTTGTTAAAATGAAAAATACTGCAAGTATTTTATTTTCCAGCCATTTAGATAATTCTCAAAGAGTCTGAAGAGAATTAGTTCAGTCTTTTATAAAAATAATTTCTAGCCATCATTTTGACGACAATAAAAATTTTCTGTTTGACACCTTTATAAAGTCCAGAAGAAATGTATGAATGGTATTTTGAGAAATACCAAATATTATCACTTGTACTATTCAAAGTTTTCATTTTGGTCCTTGCTACTGCTCATTTCCACTGCCATTGTTATCTGATGCTTTTAATAAGCGAAATAATGCAGCAGCCTCTCGAATCCGACTGAAGTCTATGCAAAATGCTTGAACTTCAATGAAAATATCCTGTAAATAAAAAATAAATTTATGGATATGAAAAGGTTTCTAAAACCAAAATTGTAGATTCTGAACAATAATTTTGTTACTTAGAGTCAATTATTCAATGATAGATTTGGGGTTGTGTTGACACTGAAGATACTTATGAAAAACTTTTAGAATCCCCATTAATACATAGAGAAAAGCAAATTATTATTTCCACAGACTGCTAAAACACAGAAAAATGATTTGTAATACATGTGCTATGTAAAAAACACAGATGGAGATACACATTTAGTAAATACAAAGCAAGAAAAAATAGATTTCACTTCATCTATATCTACCTATTTCTACCAACAAATGAAGGATGGTTGTCCAATGTAATTATTATAAGAAGCATTAAAGACACTAAAAGAGAGTTTTAATCAATTTTTACCCTGCTATAAATGCAAAGTAATAACAATTAATCTGAGGGAGGGTTGAAAAGTTCTTGGTGCAACCAGAGTTGGGTTGAGAACTTTTCAGCACCCTTTCATAGTAGCAGTATTATTAATAGTATAAAAACCATAACAACAAAATGCATAAAATCATTTTTACCACTTTATAAGAGTCAACTAATAAACAAAGATATAGATGTGAGGACTGTTTGCAATATTATCATATCAAGAGCATTATTTTTATTTAAAATAAACTAGAAATATGCTTAAAATATTTATTTTTAAATGTATATAATTTGATTTTTCTATCATTCATTTATCTAAAAGAAACTGACACAATCTAATAAAAAAAAAAAAAGAAAAATAAAGAGCACATGCAAATTTTACAAATAGTAAGCAAGCATTTTACCTTCACATCAATGATTTTATTCCGTATCAGGGACTGCAAAAATACACAGACCAAACGTACTAAGCGATTTTGCAAGAAGCGATCTGTTATACTCTCACAAGTTGATATACAGTTTGAAATATAAAGATGGATAAATTCAGATGGGAGTTCAACAGTCTGCAGTAAAAGAAAGTAAAAAGTCAAAATGATTAGTAAATTAAAATATATACAAGGAATAAAATATTTAAATCAAGTATATATTTATCATCATGTCCTAATAGGAAGCACACATAAGACAATTTACAGGTTCTAGTAATCATTGGTTGTGTAGCTACTTTTGTTCTTATTGCATTACAGCATATTTAACAATTTACAAAAGTAGCAAGAATGATTTATTTTGACAAATCAAAGTCAAAATTTGGTCAATACTCTTGTGAATGATTATGGAAATATAAGGAAAAATGAAGCTTTAGTCAAAATTTAAAAACAGTATTTAGAATATAAATAATATCATCAAACATCAAACAGTGATATATACTAAATGTGAAAAATAGGATTTCTAAATAATTTTGAAAATATTTCTTTAAGTTCATTAAATGATAGATTAAATAATTTCAAATATACACCTTCAAAAATAATAGAATATGTTAAGATATAAATGGTGCATCATTATTTGCAATTATGGAAGATGCACAACTTATATATACTCTATCAAAATACTGAATTTTTCCTGAAAGCAAAGTGAGTACTATAAATTATTTAACCAAAGAAAATTGAAACTACAAAATTTTCTGAACATGTCTGAAGCTAAACTAAGAAGTGCACTAAGGATGTTTGAGGTATTTAAAGACAATGTGAAAGTAAAATCTATAAAATTTTTTTTAAGTTACAATAGCTGATAATTCTACAATTTTTAAATATGTAAAAATACTTACTGTTGTTAATCTGTTGACGACTTCCATGCTGTGCAAGGACATTTCCATATTTACAAGAACAGAAAAATATCTGTAATCAAAGTATGAAGTTTAGGTTATTTTTAAAATGGTACTATTCATACTTTTTATATATGTTTACCACAAGAAACTCCAATTATCATGTTTAATGCTTCCTCAAAATGTTCTACACTAAATAAAATTGTGTCAGCCAAATGTTTAAGTTTGACTAACACATGGAGGAAATAATGTAATTAATCCTGAACTTCAAATTTTACAATTAATTTTTGAGAATTTTTAAATCAAATTTTATATTTTAATCTATTATTTTAATAGCAAAGGATAAAAGCATGTTTTAGGATTACATGTTTATTGTAAGGAAAAAAGTATTTTATTTTTTGCTAAAAAAAATTTTCTGAGGGAAGTTTACTAAGTTTTTAGCTTCCTCATTTTTTTATTTGTAAGTCTTTAAATTCTTCTACATGTCAGCATTGTTGTTCCAAAACTTTGACTATTTGAAAAATCTTGTTGAATTCCTTTTAAAGCATTTCTTTATCAGGAATGAAGCATCAAATAAAATTTCAACCAATTTCTCAACAGGGGATTTTTTTTATATAGAAATGTAAATATTATTTATGTACAAATAATATTTTGTAGAGAATTCATTAAATTAAATAATGTAGGGGGAGTTGATTTCCACAAATATTTTCTTACAAAATATCATTTACATTAATAAATTCTAAAAGTTTTATTAAAATCCAATAATTAGTTGAATTTTTTTAGTAGATTTTTAAAAACTTGATGTGATGCAACTGTGTGATTTAGGAAGAAAATACAATAAAAGTTTTATTTCATCAAAAACTAATTTATTTTGAATTTGTCTTTAATTTCTACATTTAGTTGAATTATTGGGAATGCTGTTAAATCCATAGCATCATCTATTATCATGAAAATTTTATCAATAATTGTCAAATACAAATGAAATTTGAAAAAGTTCATTAAATCCTGCTATGACATATTTATTAGTGTTGTAGGAAAATGGGTTTTCTGCAATCACAGTATCATGGAATTGAATATGTGAAACGTAATCTGGTTTTGTATGTCATTTTCAATAATAATGAAGTAACCATTTGGTATATTCTCTCAAATTCTTTTTATTTAAAAAAATAACAGTTTCTGCAATTTTTTATTAACCTACTTTAATAAATAAATATATGAAGATAGTTATATCTTAAAGTTTGTTTTTATATTAATTACATTTTTAAAATAAAGGTGGTCATCAATTTTCATGGAACAGTTTGGCTAACCCAATGCAGATACATTTTTTTTGCAGATAAATATTTTTTTTTAAAATTTTATTGCTAAAGTGGACACAGAAGGATAGACAAATAAGCTAACAAGTGGTGTGGTAATTAGAAGAGGTAGACATTTTTTTACAATATTCAAAGAACTCCTAACTTTTTCTTCCATCAAAAGACTTTACAAAATAACTTATTCACAAGGACTTTGATTAGTTCACAATCATTTCTTCTATAGACGTTTAACTTTCACAAACTTTACAACATTCTGAACACCTTGTGACCTTGTTTTATTATTTGTTAAACCTTTTTGTTTATATCTCTTACAATTTTTATACCAATATACTAACAAGATAACTTTATTTGTCAATGATATGAATAAATATGCTAGTCAGATGAAAGAAAGGTCAAACAAATGCTGGTGTCATCTCGTATGTAAACACGAGGAGGCACGTTTCTTTTTTGACAAAATGAAAGCCTTCTTAGCTATTTTGTTTCTTATTGCACCCCAAAACTCCATAAGGAGTAATAAAGGTTAAAGTATGTTAAATTGTAAATGTATTTGTTTTTTATTTTGTGTTTCAATTTTTTTTGTCTTCAACATCAAAACATACATGTGTTACATAATGCATTACATTAAAATATTACTCATCCATTCTTTTATTAGCATATAAAAAATAAAATCTATACACACAATACAAAGAAAGTTATAACAATTTTAAAACAGTAGATGTTCATGTTCTTATGCCCTCAAAAAAAAAAAAAAAAAAAAAAAAAAAAAAAATGCAGTGGCAGGGAGAACAATTCTAGAAAGAATTTATTGTGCTAAAGGTTAATCTTTGTTAAAGGTCTGACATCAAGCAACAATGTGGAAATATGCTCTCGAATACTTACAAAACTTGAACAGGATTCAAAGTTAATGATACAGACTGTTGCGGAAGAGTCTCAAAAAAAATTGTCAATTTAAGGCAAGATACAGCGAAAATTGAGCAAAATGGCACATGACAAGTACAAGTATCAGGACATCCTATAAGTTGTTTGAATTTTAACTTTTTGTTAAAATGAACAAAATTTAAAGAGTATTTTATAATGTCTAATGGAGCTGAACATTATTTTTATGTTTAGCTGCATTTAAACTGATCAAATTTTATTTCAGAGAACAATAAAATTAAATTTTATTTGATTAAAACCCTGCTAACATGGAAGTACCCAAGAATCATTTGAGGCACATAATGCTTTATGAGTTCAAGAAAGGAAACTCAGCAGCCGAAGCAGCTAGAAACATTCACTCAGTTTATGGAGAGGAATGTGTGAATGAAAGAACTTACAGAAGATGGTTTGCAAAATTCTGAGGTGGAGATTTCACCCTTGAAGATGAAGATCGAAGCAGACGTCCAGTTGAGTTTGATGAAAAGCTTCTTGAAGCAGCCCTTGAAGAAAATCCTGCTTTATCAATTGAGGAATTGGCAGTGGTTCTTAGTTCAAACCATACAACTGTTCATCGTCATCTTCAACAACTTGGAAAAGTTCCTAAACTTGGAAAATGGGTGCCTCATGAATTGTCTGAAAACAACCTCAAATCCCGAGTTGACATCTGCTCTTCTCTCCATTCTCACCAACTTGTTTCACCTTTTTTGGATAGACTTGTGACTGGCGATGAAAAATGGATCTTTTATCGAAATGTTAAGCATCGTAGACAGTGGCTTGGTAAAGGGGAAGGATTCCAGCTACAGCCGAGAAGAGAACTTCATGGGCAAAAGGCTCTTCTTTCAATCTGGTGGGATCGCCAAGGAATAATCCACTTTAAATTCTTACCACCTAATGAAACAATTAATGCTCAAATATACTGTCAGCAATTAGAGCGTTTGAACCAAGCTTTGAGGAAAAAAAGACCTGCTGTAGTGAATCGAAAAGAGGTAATGTTTCATCAGGACAATGCGCGACCCCACACAGCAAGAATCACGTCACAAAAGATCGAAGAACTTGGTTGGGAGAAAATTCCTCATTCTCCCGATCTTGCTCCTTCAGACTACCATTTGTTTCGTAGCTTACAAAATCATTTGGAAGAAACAGCTTTTGTAACACAGGAAGGAAGTTAAAACTGACATTTGTGAGTTCTTCGAATCAAAGCCAAAAGAATTTTACAGTAATGGAATTAGTAAGCTTGTTAATAGATGGAAGGAAGTCATAGATAATCAGGGAAAATACATTGTTGATTGAATCTGTAATTAAATGTAACATTTGGTCATTTGTTTTCTTTATTCAAAATTTGGACAGAACTTATGGGATGACTTGATAGTTTGAAAAAAGACAGTAGTACCAAAAGAAAAATCCAGAATAAAAATACTGCAAAACTTAACCCATGCTATGGCATACTTAATCTCAGAAAGGACTGTTCATTTAAAACCAAAAATGTTTTAATTGTGGAAAAACAGGTCACAAATGAAGCTACTGGCAAGTCAAAAAGCAAAAGAAATACACAAATTAACTTGTAGTACTAACAGTTAAAATATTGAAAAGTTCAAATAATAAAAATTTGTGAGAGTACAAATAAATAATGTTATGGTGAGATTTCAATTGGACACTAGTCGCGATATTGCAATTATTGATGAACAAACTTGAAGCAGAATTGGCAATCACGACTTGAGAAAAGCTAACAAAGTAGCAAGAGGAATATCGGGCAAGAAATTAATTTTCCTTGGGAAAATCACATGTAACCTTTGTGGGTAAAATTAAAAAAGCAGATGTTTAAGTATTAAAAAATTCCAACTTGAATTTACTATGTTCGCTTGGTTAGAATTATTTGAACTATGGAATTGGCCGATTAATTCATTCTGTGGAAAAATTAACTGTTCATCAGAGAAAAAGATTACAGCTAAAGAAACACTGAATAAACTAAAAAATAAATTCACAAATATTTTCTCAGAGGAGTTGGGAAAATGTATAAAGTTAAAAGTATTTTTTAAATTAAAAGATAATGTGATACCAGTGTTTAGGCCAAAATGAAATATACCTTTTGTTGCATTGGAATCTATTAACATTAAACTGGATAGGTTAGAAAACTGTGGAGTTATTGAAAAAATAGATTATTCAGAATGGGCCATGTCAGTGCTTTATATTAGAAAGAAATAAAATTTGTTTATGTGTAGATTTTTCAATTGGGTTGAATGACTGCCTCCTACCAAATGCATATCCCCTACCAACTCCAGAGGATATATTTGTCAAATTAATGCATATCTTCAAATCAAAGTAGATGAGAAATGCCAGAAGTTTTTGACTGTTAATACACATAAAGGACTCTACAAGTATAAAAGACTACACTTTGGTATAAAATTAGCCCCAGGTATTTTCCAGCAAATAATGAATAAAATGTTGGCTGGACTAGATGGTGTCATCGCTTACATAGATGATATACTCATTAAGAGTTGTTAGTGTTACAAAAACACAACATGTAAAACTGATTCAGGAAGTATTTCAGAGATTATATGATTACAGTTTCAAAATCAATGAACAGAAATGTCAATTCTTTCTGGATAAAATTAATACTTAGATCAGATAATTGACAAAAAAAGGAAGACTAGATCCCACTCGAGCAAGTGTCTCCCATAATAAATTTAGTGACCCTACAATCATTTCTCAGATTAGTGAATTATTATAATATTTATGCGTCAGATATGTACAAATTGTGAGCACATCTGAATAATTTACTTAAGAAGGGTATGAATGGAATTGATCGACAGACTGTCAAAAAGCTTTCAAAGGAATTAAAAGAAAC